TCGATCCCTTGAATGGTAACTTGGCAACGGCTCCTGAAAATTTAAAAAAAAAAATTTCATTTAAACTAAAAAGAAATCATAATTTATTATAATAAAATTTTGCGTTTTACCTGTCAACACGGTATAAAAGTTTGGAAATTTTTTTAGCCCAATTTTTCCATGTGAACCATCAAGGTTTAAGGCTACAATGACGTCCGTTTTTAAGACGAGTGAAATATTTTTCATGTTATTACATAAAATTGATGCTATTACAGATTCCTGTAAATAGGTACAATAAATATTAGAAATTTCGTTCACACATAAATAAATAACTAGCGTACATATACAGAAGTGGGTTAAACTGACCGAAAGTCAATTTTTTAAATTAGACATGTATGTTTTTACTACATGTTCGGATCCTGAGGATAAAAATACGTACCTTTTGCTTGATTTTTTATTTTTTTGGGAAGTACGTTTTCGATCAATAAAAAAAGCTTCGAGCTTCAACTCGTCTTGGTCTTTTTAAATGAGTGAAAACCTTTTTATTGGAAAAGCAAAAACGAACGAAACATGAATTAACAAGTCGAGGATAAATTATCTTTTGGTCGTATTACCGATTTCTGGTTTCAACCGGGTTCGAGTGGTTTAAACGGACCGGATGTGCATTATTTTAATCGGAAGAAAAACAAAATTCCAGCAAACGTTATGTATTTTTGTCCGCAGAAACCGAATCTGTGGTAATAACATGTATACCCTTTTAAAAAAACTGGACTACCGCTCAGTTTAACCAACTTCTGGTCGAAACCGGAAGTCGATAATATCACCAAAAGATAGAGCATCCTCGATTTGGTAGGTCACTAGTATTTTAACGCTTATGGAATAAAAAAACATTTTCCTTTATTTTAGAGGAAATAGACGGATGGTCTAGGACAAACTACATATAGTTTTAAATACGATAACCAAACACGCACACACTCATACTTAACACATCCATATCATTATTTTTTTTAGCTTGCCGGCTTGATCGTACCAAATGACGGAATGTGTCATCTGAACAGTGAAGGTTATTATACACATGCGGAGATATTGGATTATCCAAGTGTTGAAGCGATAAGGCATAAAGTCAAAGATAATTCTATAAATGTCATATTTGCTGTCACTAAAGATGTTTTTAAAACATATAAGCGGCTATCCGATCATATTGAGGGATCTTCCTGTGCAGTTTTGACAACGGATTCGTCGAATGTTGTGAATCTCGTGCGCGAGGAATATAAGGTATGTATGGATGTTTTAGCTATTTGTATTAGGCTTCACAGTAAATTGCTAAGAAAGTTATAGTAGCTGACCTTATAGAAACGTTATGCTTTATTGCGTATAAATGATTTATGTTATATTTACGTATTAGTGATGTGCGGTTTCGAGTATTTAAAGACCGCTTACGGTTCTCAAAAAAGTAGTAGCGGAAGTAGGTCCTATGAAAATAGTTTAAAAAATATTTTAAAAAGTTTTTACAATTCATTAAAAACATAGTAATGATTCCATTTAGGAACATGATGTTTTTGATGTTGTCGAAGAAGATGTTGTAGAAGAAATTTAGTATGGCATTAAATTCAAAGAAAAAAATGTTGTAGGTCAACTCAGAACCCCATATTGCGAAAAGAACCCGAATTTTAAGTCGATAACATCAAAAACTACGAACAGATCGGGTATATGACGACTATATGGTATAGTGCCTCGAACCGAACAAAGTTTGGTAGGTCAACGCAGAAATACATATATATATATATGTATCCTATCCAAATGTGGGACAGATTTTTTTATATTTAGACCAGTGGTGCCCAAAAATTTCAAATGGAAGCGCGCGCACCACTACATTACTACCAAAAATTTATTAATATAGTTTTTTTTTTATAAAAATAAAAGCTAAATTTAAGAAAAAGAGTGAAATCAGTACACTATGAAAATTCGAAAATTTACTAATATAGTTTTTTTTTTTAATTAAAAAAGCAAAATCTAAGAAAAAGAAACGAGAAGTAGAAATGTAATTTTATATTCAATTAAATGCTAAACAGAAACTTTTGTTAAACATCCAACTCCACTCTGTGGGTCTAATTAAAATCAAATTGAATTTCATTGTAATTTTTTTTTTTTAAGTTTTAATCGTTTTTATATAATCCGCAAACGTGGCTTGGTATGTATTTATCTAATAGGGACTCGTTTTCAACTAGAGCGGAGGACTGTATCCCTGCTGTCCCTAATCAGACCGAGTGGCCTACGCACTACGCTTGGCCTCTACTTAAAATTCATCAAAGGGACTCAAGCTTTCGCAAATCCATACCATGAATATTCCCTTGGGTGAGAATTTAAACGATCGAAAAATCCCATTCAAAGAAGTACATGGCGTGCAATGAAATTGTGGTAGAACGGAAACATAACATTCCAAGCACTCACGTAGGGATGGCAGCGATTAATGATTTGATTAATTAATCGACTATTTTTGTCCAATTTACGATTTAATTGTATCCTAGTTTTGTGTTTCATTAACCGATTATTAATCGAATCGAGAAATTGCAACCGTTCAACTGCAAAACTCTCAACAAAACTTTTATTTTTGCAAACTTGGTTAAATAATAAATAATTATCGCCGCTAAAAATACTCGTTTTATTTTATTTAACGCTAATTAACAAGAGAATTAGAAATTTTTATGGAAGTGTTTTTGTGAATGCTCACTGTCCCTTAAAAAATTCGATGAATCCATTATTTCTCAATAATTGCAATTATAATTAATTGCTTGTGATTAATCATACAATTGATTTTTCGATTTTTTTTACCATCGTTACACTCAAGCATACACAGTTGGCCATTGTACTTAAAACCTAGAAATCCTGCGGCGGTCGTCGTGTGATAAATTCTAACGCTAAAATTCTGACTAATAAACAATCTAGGATAATTTGGGACGTCGAATTAGAACGGAGCCAATTATACGGCCAAACATAGCAGAACTGCCAGATACATGAGGGATCTTTTGAATAAGGTTCATGAGAGCCCCTGATGCAATACTGACACCTTCAAAACAAATGTTTTTTTTTCTGAAAAAGGAAAACAGGGTTAGAACCAAATTAGTTCTCAGACAGAGATTTATGGTTTTATTCATACAAACCAAAATAAATTTAGAGCGCTTTATAAAGTGACATTTTCATAAAAATTTTTGGAATTGTAAAGCAGTTAAAGTCTTCTTTATTTTTTATGAATTTGATGGTAATTTTCGGCTCCTTCGAAGTGGTCACATGGTTGCGTTTTTGGTCGACCCATTCCATGGATTTGACTCGAACGTTCGTAGCAACTTGTGCTGGTACAATCACAATAGAACTTAATTAAGCACTTTTAATCATTGAAATTGATCAAGCCTTTTCTTAGTTTCGGCAGAGGATTTTTTACTTAAAAAAATAATGCTTAATCGGTACACGAAATTCCCGTTTTTCCATTTCCGTTAAAATTCACGAGGTTTTCTGCTTTCAAAGGCGGTCAAACACAACTCAATCAAAGATAGTTGACGGCAATAATATAATAATAATAATAATAGATTGGCGCTTACACATATGTCAGAGTTTGGCCGAGCTTCTCCTCCAATTTGCGGCGTGTGCCTTGATGTCACACAAAGGGGAGGGACGGAAATAATATATTTCATTTTAAATTACTGCGCGCGAAATTCAAAACGTCAACGATTTTTTAAATTGGCATCGTATTTTCTTTTTAAATGTTCCTTCTTAGCATTGCACAGTGGTTGCATTTATATGGGGAGAGCGGCCAAAAATACTTTTAATGGACATATCGGGATAAAATTTTTACCCTAAGGTCTGTTAAAAGTAAAAACTGTAATATGCAAAAGAGGGCGGGGTTGGACACGCTCACATACAGTCATGTGAAAAATGATAGGGACACGACGTTGTGATCAGTTTCGACTATTTTTTTTTGTTTGTTTAATGTTAATTTTTTTTTAATAAAAATACAACTCACTATCTAACTAACTATCACAACACGAATTATCTAAAAGTTTAATTGTAGAAATAAGGTCAATACCTTTATGTACAATATTCATTTTTAACTCACTCGGCTTTTCACAATATTTTAATTACGTTAATTCCAATTCAATTTTCAGCGTGCTGACGCTGTACAAATAAAATGAACAATTGATGACACTTTTATTGCTTTTTTCAGAAACAACCGTTAGAATTAAAACAAAAAATATATCACAACATGAAGTTTGGACAAAAAACTGATTGCAAAGCCTATTTTTGTTCAAAAATTTTTACATACATTTTTTTAATTTTGGCCTATGGCAGCAACCACTGTGCATTGCAAGAAATATTTTTTTCCCACCTTTATAGAAAATTTCATCCACTATACAAATGCGAGACAATGCCACCCATCATGTTAAGATTAGCTACTATTCAGCTTGTGGCAAAGATGGCCCCGAAATACCAACATCGAAATGTGACAATGTACGCGTCGGCGATGAAATTACATTTACCCTTCATATCGAATTGAATTCATGTCCATCTGATCCACGCGATTGGCGAGAAGTCATACAAATCTCTCCGATCGGTATAAATGAAAGCCTGATCATTGATCTCGAAATGCTTTGCGGTTGTGAGTGCGAGTCTCAAAGGAAAACTCTCAGTGAGCAGTGTAACGCGCGCGGCAGTCTTGTTTGTGGCGTTTGTGAATGCGATGAGACGTTTATTGGTACCAATTGCCAATGCCTTAGTGACACTATGCCGTCGAAGAGTGAAAATAATCACTTCTGTCACGATAATACGACGCAAGTGGACTGTAGTGGGCGTGGTCTGTGCTCATGCGGCGTTTGCCAATGCGATAAGCGTGCCAATTCCAATGAAGTTATTTCCGGAAAATATTGCCAATGTGACAATTTCTCTTGTGAACGTCATGAACAAAAAATTTGCTCTGGTCCGGAGCACGGCACATGCGAATGTGGAAAGTGCGCTTGTAAAACGGGTTGGGCGGGAGCTGCTTGCGAGTGTCAGTTGTCGAAAGAGAGCTGCAGACCAGCTGGTGGCGGCCAGCTTTGTTCCGGCAAAGGAACATGTGAGTGCGGCATATGCAAGTAAGGAATTTTATATTTGGAAAGAATTAAGAAACTTTAATTAAAAAAAACTAACTTTTATTTGTCCATTGCAGATGCCAATCCACGCCACAGGGTTACTTTTCGGGCCAGTACTGCGAGTTGTGCCCGACATGTTCCAATCGTTGCGACAAACTCCAAGATTGCGTGCAATGCCAAATGTACAAATCGGGAAAGTTTAAGAATTTGCAGGACTGTTTGGGTAACTGCACGAGTGTGAAGACGACCTCGCTAGATAACGACGCTATTGAAAAATATGAACTGATTAAGGGCGAAAAGAAATGCACCGCCTACGATGATGTTAATAAATGTAAATTCACTTTTATATTCAAAGAAATGGACGACGGCACAGATGAAGTGCGCGCACAAAGAGAGCCTGACTGTTGGTTGAAGGTGGCTATTTTAAGAATTTTATGTGGTGGCGCCGGTGCTATTTTGGGCATTGGTTTGGCCACGCTACTTTTGTGGAAACTAATAACGAGAATACAGGATCATCGCGAATATATGCGCTTCGAGAAGGAAAAGTTGTTGGCCGAATGGAAAACGGTGAGAAGCTCATTTTTGCTATGCGAATTGTGATTTTGATTTTGATTCCTAATTTTGATTTGAGACTTTATTTCAATATCCTATTACTGCTCTTAATTATCGCGTTTATGGTATGAATTTCGTTTCCATTTCCAGAACAATAATCCACTCTACAGGCAGGCAACTTCCACTTTCAAAAATCCAATGTTCCGTTTTTCAAGAAGAAGTAACTAAGCATATAATATTCAAAGTATTATTTAAATTTATAAGTTTACTTTGAAAAAAAAATAAAGAAAGCTATTGGAGATATTAAAAGCAAATTTTTTTTTGTATAACAAATGCAGCCTCAAAGCTCAGCTAGGAGTGCCAGTTACTGTCGCAGTTTTACCGATCTTATTGTTTTATTTTGAGGACCACGAAGATTCTTTAAACTTACCACATCGTATTAAGCTGAACCGTAGAAAGCTGCTAACTGGAAAAATTCCAAGTCTGCAGTTTTTAAACTCTTTTTATTTCAAATAACACGATTTAACAAAATTTTGACAGATTTTGGGTTCCGAAAACGGAACCGACATCATTTTCTATGCTAATTTCAAAATATTTTAAAAACTTTTCTAGCAGGTCTAGTTTTGGAGAAAAAAATGGTGCAGCGTGGAAAAATGGCAAATTAAAAAAAAAAAAATAGTTTAGGCGTAACTTTCCGAAAAAAATTCCGCGCATTGAAGAAAACTGAAACCGTCCGATGGATTTTAACCCGTGGCCTATTTGAGAAATTCAAGCCAGCCTCTCGACTCAGTTTACTATTCCATATGACCACAGATATTTTAATGTTTTTTTCTAACATTATGCAAGGCAGCTTAATTGGAAGTGCCGGGATTTCTGTTGAAATTATTTAATTATTTTTTAACTTTTCCTGATTTTTTTTTTTCACTCCTATCCCCACATGAGGTAGAGAATTCGTCTCACGAATTGAATTTTCATGAATAAGTGGTTTTTGCTTTGTCGTCTTCGTTTTCATCTCTGTGTTTGTTTTCTCGTTCGGCTTCATATTCGTAAATAAATATGCGAAGCAAACCAATATGTGATAAACAATGCTGTATTGGCAAAATTCAAATTGAACAACAAATCAATTATATCCATATGCACATTAGGGTGGTCCAAAAAAAAGTTACGTCAGAATTTTAATGCTTTCACCTGTAGGATAGTTCTATACCGAAAAAATATACCTTTATTTTATATCGAAATCAAAACATATTTAGAAGTCGCTTAAAGCGCTTAAAGTTTTCCATGTATTTTAAATGGGAAAACAAAATTTTTTCGTATAAACGGTATAGAATACGTGAAGATCAAAATTTTTCGAACGGAAAACTCTGCTTCTCTTCACGAGACTTCCAATAATAACATAGAATTGTTTTTATTTCGTAAATTCTAACCCATTGTAAAAAAATGATGGTGTGGCTAAGTACCTAAAACGGCTCTCTCAGCCTGAAATTTATGCTTTCGGTACTTAAGTAATTATGCTTTCAATTGTTTATGGACCTCTAACAAACATATTTACCCAAATGTGCATAATTTATTTATGTAATTCACCACAATCAATTTCGTCAAACTTAATCGATTTCCCGCAGTTGACTCGATAATTAACGCATATTTATTTATTGAATAATTGCGCGTTGATCACACCTGGCGCGTTCTCATACAACTTACTACGTGTGTAGTTTAAACCCAGTGGAAAATTAATGTTGGGTAAAGTATAAAGTAATGATGGCTTTACAAGACGTTTCAAATCAGCTTAGGGAGAGTTTTTCGCACTTTTAACGAAGGATATTTCGAAAATGTGATGTGATACAGCAATTTTGAATTGAGATTTGAAAATTTTTTTGGAATTTGAATTTTTTTTTGTGTTGATAAAAAATATTAAAATCCTTTTATAGATTTTTCTCGCATTATAAAACATATGTATCTACTTATACTTTTTCGATTTCGTTTTTTTGAGGTATTTAGCACAATAGCCCACTGTACCTCAGCAGTTATTTTTCTTCATATTCGTATTAAGTAAATGTTTAGCACGCCACATTTTTTTTTTGTATTTCTGTGTGCCCACTGCCTTTCACTTTTCTAATAAAGCAATTTTGAGGTACATACCTAAATATGTACATACATATATATGTACATGTTGAACCGTGTTGTATGCGTACACCATTCAGTTTTCATTGACTCATACATATATTTAGTCATGTCTGCATGTAACATATTAACAAATGTTTGTAGTCAATAGTAAGCTTCCAGTAGCCGTGATCGTCTAGTGGTTAGGACCCTACGTTGTGGCCGTAGTAACCCAGGTTCGAATCCTGGTCACGGCATTATGAAACACAGTTTATGTGTGAGCATTGCCACGTACGGAAGCGTTTTTTTGCTGTTTGTAATTTTTTACATTTTATTTTTATATTTTTCTATATGGCTTTTGATTTGGCTAAACTTTTGCTTAAAACCTAATCTGTAGATATAGTAAAATTGTTATAGGCCGATGTCTCTATATTATAGATATTAAAGAAAAATTTATGTGCGGGGTCTTTATTAGAGCAACAGAAGCCAAATCAACCATTTTTAGAATATTTGTCTGTCTTTCGGTCTATCTGGCTGTCGAAAACTAATGCATGGAATTGAATGCAGTTTTCACCCATGTGTTGATAGAGGTCTAGCTAAAAATATAGAAAAAAAAATACAAATGACTTGTCTTATCTACTGTCAAATTGTCAAGTCCCACAGGGTTGTATTTTTTTTTTAATAAATGGAAACCCTAGAAGCTTACATAAGCTCGACATTGTATGGCTCTAAGCTAAATTATATGTAGAGTGGTAAAAGGGGTATATTCGAGGGATTTTTCACTGCCTGATCACTGTAGTCTCTGATGGCAGCCGCTGTGTTCCTAACGTAAAGCATAGACTGCATTGGTGACAAATCGCAGGCGAGGGAGTGCTCCTGGACTAATCGAGCGATGAACCCAGTTCTCCTGGGTATGTATGATTAATAATGTACATAAGTATGTATGTACATATGCATTACTACAATACGTAGGTAGTATTTAGTTATTTGTGACTTCCCATTTAATTTAAACTGGTAATAAAGAAATTAAGTGCCCGAATAGCACAAATTTATGTAAGCATAAGTTCTGAAGCAAATTATATTACCTATACATTGTCTAGCCGCTGATTAAAGCTAATTATGCCATCGCTCACTACGCGCTTTAACTATGAATAACACTGGGCGACAGCCGAAATCAGCCCGGGCTTTGTTAACATATTTGTTCTGAAAGTAAACCTGTCCAGAGTAAAACACTCGATGGATTTGCAAAAGTTAGCCGTATTTTTATTTTGTGGCCTACTAAAATTTTTATGTCTCACCCTAAGTAGTTTTCAAAAAAGTCGAAAAATGGTTAAAAAAAATATCTGAGCGAAATTAAAGGTTAAGACGTATGTATATAGTAAAATTTCATGCGCAATATTTTCGTAGAACATTTGAACCCACTAGCTCCCGCCTGAAATGGTCGTTTTGATCCTTACTTCAAGAAGCCCCGCAAAAAGCAAATTTGGAAGGTCGTTAGCGGATTGAAGGAACAACAGCCAAACTCAATTAAAAAAAAAAAATTTGTCAAAAACAATTTTTTTTGCTGATTTTTTATTTAAATGTTTTAAAGACTTTTACGCTGATGGTACGAAGCTTTTGCCTGAGAAGACCACTAGTAAAATTTTCCGAAGAATGATTCGCTAGAATAGAATCAAATCTCTAACGAACTTCTAAATCTGCTTTTTGAGGGGTTTAAAATGTTCTACAAAAATATTTCCCATGAAATTTTACTATATATGTCTTAACTTTTAATTTCGCTCTGACATTTATTTTAACAATTTTTTCAATTTTTTTTAAACTACTTGGGCGGAAACATGAAAACTTTAGTAGGCCATAAAATAAAAATACCAGCTTACTTTCACAAAGCCATCGAGTGTTTTATTACTGGATATCTATACTTTCAGAAAATATTAGCAAAGTCCGGGCTGGTTTGAATTGTTATAAAATTGTCGCACAGTGTAATATATGTATTTTTTTCTTATCAACTTTAGCTCGTCATGACATTTGTTCAACTGCTGTCATACAAATTTCTCATCAATTCCCATTGTTTTCGAGTTTTTTTTGGTTTGGCTTTTCGTCATCTTTTACATACGAAAGGGCAATTATCTCTGTAATTTATTCATCACTGCGCTAGGTTGTAGTAAATAAGTGGTGTGGGCGCCAGTTCCATAACAATGTGCTGTCGCATTTATTAGTGGGGAGGGTGGGACGAGTAGTCTATTATTATTACATATATTTAAGAATGGCTGTAATTGTATAGTGGCTTATTATTGCGTGACTTAAAAACATTTTTTTTTTTACTCTCATTCTCCTACTTTATTTTTATTTATTTTGTTAAATTGATCTTATTGCTTAGATAAGATATGACCAGCTCAATCGTATACATATGCAAGTTAAACTGTAAATCCTAAACCAAAGGTGTTTAACCTAAAATTAAAAAATCGTTCACAAATTCTACCTACAGCAAAAACTCCAATAGAAAGATGGATGTAACTTGGTGAAATTTGCTTAATTGAGGCGCGGACTGCGCATCCATCTACTTGTACACTGAGATGTGGTGGAAATCCTAGACAGAATGCACCCCAATGGAAATCAGACAGCGGACATTTGGAGGTCAGCCCTTGTAGGCTTTTACGGTCTTGGTATTTAGGGACCCCGGGCTACTAGGTGTTGATGAGAGTTCTGAGATGCCCTATAAAGAATCGATCTCTAGGCAGGGAAGCTCTGGCGCGATGCTGACCTTTTGGCTGTACAGAGGTATGAAATCTCCGATAAACCACTATCCTAGGTATGTCTCTCTGAGGGCTTAAACTCTTGGATTAAATAAATTTTGTAACTTCTAAAATTTGTTAACTTCTTCCGCTCAATTCAACGTCGTTCGCGTGCTTAATCGCGTTAAAAATAAATAAAAAGATCGCGTTTTAAAAGAAAAAAATTACATTGAGAAAATATTTAGAATGATATTTTGTATACTAAAATTGATTGATAGGGCTGAGTTTTCCTGAGTTTAGAACATATCTCGAATTAGTCTAAATAAATTCCTAGCTACAAATCACCTCCATTAGTGCTTACTTACAAGGAACTCATTCGGCATTGTGATTATGCTTGCGAATATGGTTGTAAGCGCATACTTACTTATTTGAGTTGAGTTTGCACATTTCCGTTTCCTATTTGACTA